AGGAGGAGGAGGAGGAGGAGGAGGAGGAGGAGGAGGAGGAGCAGGAGGAGGAGGAGGAGGAGGAACGATGTATAAAGCAGGGGTAGGGAGAGTGGCGACGACGGTGGTTCACAGGTGACGGCGGCAACGATGGAATTGGAGCAGTAGCAAGAATTGGCAGAGGAGAGTGGCGACGACGATGGTGATCAGATGACGGTGGTGACGATGCTGCTGCTGCTGCTGATGATGATGCTTATGATGATGATGATGATGATGATGATGATGATGATGATGATGATGATGCTGATGATGATGATGATGATGATGATGAGGATGATGATGTTGATGATGATGATGATGATGATGATGATGATGATGATGATGATGATGATGATGATCATGCTGATGATGATGCTGTTGTCGGTAAACACAGTGTTTATAATAGTGAATGGTGGTGATGATGATGCTGATGATGATGCTGCTGCTGGTGATGATGACGATGATGATGGTCACGATGGCGACGACGAGGACAAAGACGTCGACGGTGGTCGTCTTTCCGGTGCCGGTGACGGCGAGGAGATTGTGTGTGCTCGAGGATAGGGATGGCTGCCAGACCTTCGCCGATCTGTTTTTTTGTTGATTCCGTAGTCCCAGAAGTCCTGGCCGCTTCTCCGGGGGTAAACTTTTTCGTCCTGGGTCCATTCTGAATGGCGCCGGGGGCGCAACAGTGGGCCCCTGAGGGCCGAGATCGAGGCACTGAAGCGCCAGTTCAAAGAGCATGTCGCTTGGGATGTTGTTGCTGCTGCTGGTGATGATGAGGTGGAAGAGAACGCGCTTCACCGGCGCTTGCCTTGGGAACATTCGGCGGCGCGTTTCGAACCGGGCGGGAGGCCCCCCGTCAACATTCGGTGCCGTCGATCAGAACCACGGGGACTTCCCTCCCCCCTAACCCCCCCCTCCCCGAACCCCCCCCTCCAGCGCTGTCGCCGGCGCCTGCGCCGGCGCTGGCGGCGGCCGGCAGCGCCGACGGCGGGGACGCAGCGACGATGACCAGAGAGGGCCCAGAGGCCGCAGGTGAAAAACACAAATCGCCATATCGAGCCCTCGCCCCCAAAAGCCACCGGGAAACCCTTAGCAAGGTCCAAGAGACGCCCAAGAGGCGCCCAGGAGGCTTCACAAATGCTCCTCAGACGCCCCCGAGACCCCTCTGACGAGACCCCAAGAGGCATCCATTAGATCTCTTACCCAAAGCCAAAGCACGGTGGTGGGAAGACCCGATGGCCATAACACCACCACCACAAACCACCACACCACCACCACCACCGACGCCACCACCACCACCACCACCACAACCACCGCAACCAACCACTACCACAACCACCACCATCACAAACCACAAACCACAACCACCACCACCGCCACCACAACCGCCACCACTGGCACCACAACCCACCACAACCCACCGCAACCACCACCATAAACCACCACGCCACCACCACCACCACCACCACCACCACCACCACCACCACCACCACCACCACCACCACCACCACCACCACCACCAACGCCGCCACTAACACCAACACAACCCACCACCACCAGCACAAACCATCACACCACCACCACAACCACCACCGCCACCACCACCACCCACAACCCACCACCCACCACTAGCACCACCACCAGCACCGCCACCAGCACCACCAACGCCACCACCACCACAAACCACCACGCCACCACCACCACCACCGCCACCGCCGCTACCACCACCACGACTGCCACAACCCACCACCACCACCACGAACCACCACCACCACCACAGCCACCACCACCACAACTACCCACCACCACCACCACACCATCATCGGCCCACCACCACTACCGCCAACACCACCACCACAATCAACCACACCACCACCACCGCCATCATCACCACAACCACTACCACCACCACAACCCACCACCACCACAAAGCACCACACCATCACCACCACCACCACAAACCACCACACAACCACCACCAACGCAAACCACCACACCACAACCACCACCACAACCGCCACAACCACCACCTCCACCACACCTACAACCTACCACCACCATCACCACAAACCACCACACCACTACCACCGCCACCACCACCACCACAACCACCGCCGCTTCCACTGCCCACCACAACCACCACCACCACAACCACCACAAACCACCACAACACCACCACCACCAGCACTAGTACCATAAGCCACCACGCCACCACGACCACCACGGCCACCACCACCGCCACAACCCACCACCACCACAAACCACCACCACCACCGCCACCACCACCATAAACCACCACACCACCACCACCACAACCACCACTGCCACCACCACCGCCACCACAACCAACCACCACCGCAACCACTACCACCACCGCCACACCACCGCGCCACCACCACCACCTCCACGGCCACCACCATCACCACCACTGCAACCTACCACCACAATCATTGTAATCACCACTGTCACCATCACCACCACAACCAACCACCACCACCACCACCGCCACCACCACCACCACCACCACCAACCACAACCACCACCACCACCACCACCACCACCACCACCACCACCACCACCACCACCACCACCACCACCACCACCACCACCACCACCACCACCACCACCACCACCAGAGAGGCCCCTCCCATCACAGGGGGGATGTTCGAACCCCTCCCCCCTCGTGACGGGAGGGTGGGGGGGAGGTGTGAGGTTCGAACCCCTCCCCCCTTCAATCCGGGGGGGGGGTCTCGGCTTCCGAACCCCGATCGGCGCTCTCTCTCTCTCTCTCTCTCTCGGGGGGGCGGCAAAGAGGGTGTTGATGATTAGGGGGGTGGATATCATGGCGGGTGCAGTGATCTCTCCCCGGATTTCATGGCCCCCCCCCCTTCGGGCCGCGCACGTGCCTCTGGCCATGATTTGCGCCCCCCCCCCCCCCCCTCCCCAATCTTGGAGGCCCCCTCTCGGCCGCCCCGGACTCGGTCTCCGCGTGGCGCCTCCGGCTCATCCGAGGAAAGCGCTGGAGGTGCAGCTCCAGAGTGGCCCGCCGGAGGCGCGCGCCCGCGCGGCCGCGCGGCGCTGAGGGTGCATGGGGCTAGGGCGAGGGGGGACGAGGCCGCGCGGCGGGTGGACGGAGTTTGCGAGGGTCTCCTCCCTCGTGCCTCCCCCTCCCCCTCCCCCTTCCTTCCTGCCGCTTTCAAGAAGTGTGGCGCTCCCCCAACTCTTTCTCGTGCGTCGTACACTTTCGACGAAGGCTGAATCGAACCAAACCTCCTCCCCTCGCCTCGCTGCTCCTTGTCTTGCTCCTCCTCCTTACCTGCCCCCTCTACTCCCTCCTCGTTTTTTTGTGCGTTGCGCAGATATTGAATCAATACTGGCTCTCCATCCTCCTCCTCATCCTACATTTTCTGATGTTACTCCTCTTCATGTTGTCGCTTATCCTCCGATCATGTATGTAGCGCGGTCCCATGGAGGGATCGAACCATCCACCTAACCTCACGGGTAGGCCAACACGCACAGGCCTCTGCCGCAGGCAGGTGTGGCCCCCGGCTGCCCAGAGAGGGCGCACGCAGAAGTCTGGCCACGGGGGGCCGACGCCAGAGGCCGGGGATGCGAGAGGACGTGGACGGGGATATGGTCAAGCATTTCGGAGTTCGGTTGAGGACTTCGGGGTGTGGAGGGATGTTCACACTACACGGTGACCGCCCCGATAATATCAGGACGCACTTCTTCGAGAACCGATTTCTTCCTTCACTGCCGAGGCTATCGCTCTGGACGAGGCTTTCCAGGCAGTGATGGCCATCACTAATGCCAGTACCAACCAGCAGTCACTACCGTGACTTAGGCCTCGCGAGAGCTTCGGCTTAGCGCGTCGCGCTGCCAGTCTGTCCACCACACTTCTACGTGACACGCTGGCTCGGTGGAGGAAAAGATGCTGATGCTGTGTGTGAAGTCCGCACATATCCCCATTCTATCATTACATATCGTTAACGTATCGCCTCAGGTATTGGTGTACTTACCGCGCTGCCCTCCGCGCCACGCCCTGGACAAAGATCAGCTACCCTTTTCCTCATTCACCTCTACCTCAGGGGTTACCGTACAGGTTCGACTTTTCGGTCGTTAACCTACACACACCGGTTATCAGCCTACTCTTTTACGCTCTTCGTCGCCACGTCCCGCTTGGTCGTTGACCCCGCCGCATGTTCCTGCACCCTTCGGGGCGCAGTGCCTCTATGCGTGCGGCGTCTTTGATGGAGCGTGGGCGCAGCGACCACTTGGAGAGGGCGAGAGAATCCGTGATACCCATGTCCCCCTTTAAGGCGCAGACAGTTCCGCACCGCTCGCGGCCGCTCTTGGCGAGCTTCTTCCTGACTCGCCGCTGCCGCCGCCCGCGCGCGTCCCCATTCACACGCCTGGGAACTCAAATATTGCCCCGGCGCCTGATACGTCCACGGGACCGTTTCCTGGCGCCGCCTTTGATCTTTCCCATGCGCCGGTGGAAACAGCAGCAGAAGGCCTCGGAATCACCGCTGGATTCTCCTCGCCCCCGTCTTCTTCTCCAACCTTCGCTGATGGACACTGTGCCGGTGGACACTCCCGCAGCGGCGGCGCCAGGGAAACGTCTCCAGACAACGCTTACGCTCGCCCCCGCCGCTGGGCTAAGATCATGTCCCCCGCTAACGTTTCTGTCTTTGAATATGTGCGTGTTATCGAGAATCGCACAGGACGGACATCTCAGCTTGCGAAGGGTCCCAGAACGGTATCACATTCCATCTCCCAATTTGGATAATAGCCGTCGCCCCTCTCAGAGGCCCCGGCATAATTCCCTGCGACGCGATCTGGTATCGCGTGCCTCTCCCTCAACAAATGATATGGCCGAGCTTACAGACCAGGTTGAAACGTACACGACCCAACTTTTGTCGGGTCTGGCTGCGCAGACAGCCACACTAAGGCTGGAACTACACCACGCCCTTGCCTTGGTCGACGTTCGGGCCGGTGATGAGTGATCGATCCCCACCCAGGTCCAGTATCAAATCGACCAAGTGGAGTCACACCGAGGTGCCGACTCCATTACAATCCAGACGCTTCACGATTACTTTTTCGTGTGGAAACACAATTCGTGAGCGTCATGGACACGCGTACTGTCGCCGTCAGAACAGTAATTATACGATGAGCTTTGGACAGCGTGGCAGGTTCCGGCGATGGAGGTAATGGGACCACGGATCCACAGCTCCGTGATGACTTCATTGCGCTTCGTGGTCACGTTGATGAGACCACTGCCAGCCTCCACTCCCGGCATCCCGCCGCCACGTCCGAGTTGCACGGCAAGTTGTGTGCTGCCGAGATGTCTATTGCTCAACGTCTTGATGCATCAGATGGTTGTGTGCCCGCGGTTGAGAACCGAGTCTCCACGGTCGAGCAGCAGTTACCTGAAGTGCAGAGTGCATTGGCTGAGTTGCAAGTTGTACAGACCCAGATTGGTCACCTGGGCACCCCGACATCGGTTTACGATTTCGGCCCCCTCGCTGCCGAGATGGTCGAGGTAAGGACGGCGGCGGACCACGTGCAGTTACGACTCACCCATATGCCCCAAGAAAAGCACGCTGAAAAGGCACGGGCGGAGGAAGTCCTCACCCGTTTGGAACTCGAGTGCGAAGCACACAATCGACGTTTCCAGGGCCTAGAGCATCGGCTGGACCTGTACTGCCAGCGAACTTATGACACAAACGAGATACGTGGTCTACGACAGGGTGTCGAGCAGATGCAGAACGATCTCACGGCCACCGAAGCCACCATGCAGGATCACATTAGCGACGCCGCGATCCATTGACTTTCGCAACCTCCAGGACCCGCCACCGACAGTGCCCCGACCTTCGCCGACTGCAACATCCGCACAGGACATCCGCGACGTACGTCACGCCACCAAGTCCATCACATAATCTATCGCAGTGTTCTCACGGTGGCACCACCCATATCCAGGAATCAGATACTATTGTACTTCTTCTTCAACTGCCACGCGTTACAAAGTTACAGGAGTGGCAATAGATGGTCAGGGACAATTCTGGCAGCGTCTCCGGACGCCCTGCCAAGGCATTCACAGTCCTCTGCGTTGCCGAACAACGTGACACTACATTTGAGAACTTACAAGGCAGTGGCGATTTCGAGAACATCGATTGTAAGCTTGCCGCTGGACTATCGACCGATATCAATACTGAGCTCCGTTACATAATGAAGAACCTCAGATCTCAAGAACATAGAGCCGGCCGCGTGTTGAAATGTAGACCTATTTGGCGATGCTGCAATCTTGCAAAGTCACTGATGTCGACGTCGCGATGCACGACATTGAACGTATGTAACTTATTCGCACGAGGGAGGGCGATCTCCAACGGTGTGTTGTGGGCTGGGACATTTTACTTTTGGAATGCCGTGACCCATCGGACACCAATATGCTCGAGTTATTGTTCCGAGCTCAGATCCGCAGACGCCCGTGGATGAAGCAAGACATGCACGACTACAACAAGATGAAGATGGGCGACCCCGATCGCGCATGCGATTGGCTGCGAGAGCGTGTCTTGGCCAACGTCGAGATGTGCCAGCACGAGCGTGGCCAGCGCAACCTCGAGATCGAGACGAGTCGTCGCGAATTGGCCGCATGCGCAGCATGCAAGGTAGGCCGTTGCAAAAAACAGCGAACGGTGTAGTGTGCAAGCTGCCGCGCGCTGGCTCCGGCAGCCGCGCCGCGCCGCGACCTCGCGGGCGCGCGTCGCAGCCCGACGCGGGCGCCCGCGAGAAACGGTCTTCCACGGGGCGAGGCGCGCGACGGCCGCCCAAAGACGGAGGTGCTAGGAACTTCTGTTTCGCCTTCAGAAAACTCGGCATCTGCCCGCGACCCAGGCAGACGCTGCGAGCAGGGCAGCGGCTGCCGCTGCGCCCGCGTCGCGTCTGACACCGAGGCCCCCAAGAGGAGCCCTGGCAGCGCCTGCAGTCAGGGCGGCCACAACGGGACGTCCTTCCCCGGACGTGCGGGGGGCAATCGACGCCCCTCGCGCGGGGTGTGTCAGGGCCCGCGGAGTCCGGGGGTCCGCAGGTGGATTAGTCAGGTTCCGATGGATTTGCGATGGAGGGCGCGGCGCCCGCGACCATCCCGCCCCCCTGCGCGGGGCGGCAGCCGCTGGCGCTGTCGAGAACGTTCGCGCGTCGACGGCAGCAGCAGCGGCGAGAGCGAACGGTCGCCCTGGATGCGCTACAGACGCCGATCACCTGCTGCGACGCGATACTTTCGACGGCGGGGCCGAACGTGTGTGGTCCGTGGAAAGATTTGGGTCATCGCAGACCAACGACCAGGGCGCCTGCGTTCCGACCGCGACAACGTCGACGTCGTCACCCACGCGGTGCCCGAGCGGCAACTGGCCATATCGCAATCCGCATCCAGCCAGGGCGACCCCGTCGTCGTGCCCGACCAGCTGCCGGACAGGCGGCTGCAGGACAGCGCCGGGGCGCTCCTTGCCTGCCAGGTCAAGGCGCAGAAGTGGCGCGACTACCTCGCCACCCCAACCGTAACCGGACTTAGCGCGGCGCCAGTCCTGCCGCCTGACGACGGCCCGGCGTCGGCGGCAACGCCCGCAACCGAGTCTAATGCGGCGACGAGGTCCACTGCAGCGTTGTCGCGGACGTGGATCCTGGATAGTGGCTCCGCTCGCCACATCCAGGACAAGGCCGACTTCGCGCAGCAAGAAAGCACTGACGTGCACCGAGGGCGCGAACATATATGGGAAATAGCCAACGGTGGCAGGATCGCCAGCGGACATCCACCTGAAGCTACCACACATTGGTTTATCCAATTCAGCCCTTGCATTGAATTACTGTCCATCGGTGCTATCTGTGTGGCAACTGGTGCAAGACGGCGTCCGTCAAATCACGGATCATCAACTGGGTTACTTACCAATGGACCCACATGGTCAATGGCACAGGATTGTTGTCAATCGCCGCATCCCAGAAGTCGACGTCGACAATCTCGAACGGATTTCGCCGCCTCAGTTGCGTGCCGCACCG